AGGCCTGAGAGACAGTGAGAAAAGAGGACAACATAATGTTCACATGTATGTTGATTTAAAGCTGTTATTGCTGAGTGTAGGAAGATGGACGGGTTAGCCTTCCAGCAAATCATTCATTAACCTTTTGACCTCTATGAGAGACTAGCATCTAATTTCTCCTTACAATATCACCCCTGAATCACACATTAAGGTCATGAGAATAAAGGAAATGATCACCAGCTAAAGAAGCTCTTGATTGTTAAACAGATTCTCCTTATCGGCACCTTAAGAAATATGTAGAGAAAAGTATGGGGAAAATACAAACTGATGTTTGGTTGTAAAGGTTAACTCTAGAAAAAAAAGATTTTTTTAAACCTGTAGCTAACGGCGTAATTTCTTCCAGTCGGTGATATATATACTGTACGATTTTATGCCAGCAACTAACGGCAAAATTTCATCCAGTCGGTAATGTATATACTATAAGATTTTACGCCGGTAACTAACGGCGTAATTTCTTCCAGTGGGTATGGGGTAACTGGTCAAGTCGCCCGAGAGTCATCTCGCCCGAAGTCATGTCGCTCGAAAAAAAAAGTCAAGTCGCCCGAAGAAACAAATACTAAAACGATCTGCATTTCAGACGGTTAATAGGCAATAACGTTGAGAAATTTTTATCACTAAGGCGCTCTTTGTTTCTGACAACACCATAAAGATTCTTAAGGGGTTGTTCGTTCCTAACAACAAAGGAAAACGTTGTTCGTTTCCAAAAACAAAATGAAGCGTTGTTCGTTTGGTATGTGATCGTTTCTTACTCACGGACGTTTCGTAAGCTTGAGAAACTTTTTCTTGGTTTCTAACAATACCATGAAGACTTTGACTACACGGAAATCGATCGTATGCTCGGAATTGAAATATGTTTGAATAACGATTCTAAAAGCGTTGTTAGTTTCAAACAACAAAGGGAAGCGTTCTCCGTTTCTAACAAAAAAATGAAGCGTTGTTCGTTTGGTATGTACTCTTTTCTTACTCACGGACATTTCGTAAGCTTGGGAAACTCTTTCTTGTTTCTTAAAATGCCATGAAGACTTTGACTAAGATTTTACGATTTTTACGCTTAAGTATAAAACTTCGCGAATATCAGTTAAATTAGGAATTTCTTTTGTCATTTAGATTATAATTTTAAGTGTAAGACTGAACACGGTTTTTTAAGATTCTTTTTTTTTCCTCTGAGGCCCTTTCGTAGGTTATCATTTTGTGTAATCTACATTCAAAGTTTAAATAACTTTTTTTCCTCCAGAGTTTTTTTATTTAATTATGTAAATTAAAATGTTGTGAAATTATTCCATAGCAATGTAACTCTTTCAAAAACTGCCTTTATTTACTGATGCAAATAGCGCAAGGTTACCTGTTGGTGAAATCTTCTGCGCAGCCACAAACATTGCTCACTACCCCTCCACGGGCCGTCCTAAACAAGTTTTTTTTTTTGCAATGTTAGTTGGTTGCTAGCTATGCAGTATATAGTGTTATTACTTTTCAAAAACGAAGACATAAATTCGCGCTTTATATGTACTATTTCGGCTGAAACCGAGGTTATATTTATGGGGGACTGGTATCAGCCAAAAGAATTTCATAACCAGGACTACTCGATTTTTTTTGAAACCGAAAGCTCTGGGGATTTGCATGCGCGAAAGTAGTCAAAATATTGTCCGTATGGCATAAGGAAGTACCCGAATTTGCGAACGTTAACCAAAGTTATTCAGTTAAATTCCACTGACACGTAAGGAAAAAATTAAAAAGCGACTCAAGACTAAAAAAGATAAGACAAGAGCATGTTTTGATCTGAGGCAAGAGAGCACTTGTCTAAGGTGAGTACGTTATCAGGCGAATGAAGGAAGCAATTAGTAATGCACAAGCGACTTCGGAAAGCAAGAATAAAAAGTTTAACGGAATCAGTCAGAGCTCTAGCCACGAACATATCGCTCCTTTTCGTGGAGCTTAGAACTACATGTAAGGCGAACAATTTTGCATCGTTACAGAGGAAAACGAGAAAAGTGTGGCAATTCGCTTCGCAAAAATTATTCATAAACCTGCAGAAGCGGGTCGTTTAGATCAAATACTAACATACTTGTTCATCTAAATTTTTGTTTCGAAGTGAAGTTTATTTGCATTATTAAGGTCACCACAAACTCCAATTATCAATGTAGAAACTTAAAATTCTTACATTTTCGCGGTTGAAAAATTGAAGAAAAAAAGTAGCAAGGTTATGGAAATTGATCCAGCCCTTATAGACAACTTTCGGTTTTAACCGGAACTTCGGTTGACCTCGGCTAGGCTAGCGTGACATACATTCAGTACTTCCGATTGCTTCAAGAATACACCCTGAACCCTCGAATGAAAACTTAAATTGAGTTCCTTTCGTTAAATTCATCCAATCCTATATATTGCAGAGGTTCAAGCAATGGGCAAAATCATTTTCCTGCAAATTGTACTATATTTGGTCGCCTGCAATGTCCTTTGCCTCCACGCCAGCGGCCATTCCAGCGAAACATGCTCACAGGAGAATAGCGAGTGTGGAAAAAAGGGATCCAAATGGGTAAGAAAGTAATTAGTCATTACTATTAAAATTGAGACTATATATTTTTTCCAATATTAGGTTTCTACCTGTTATGATTTTAAGTCAGTTTATGAAGGTCTCAATGGAGTGGCGACTTCTTCGGCGATCGGTTAAAATTTTTTTCTAATAAGCGGCTAACGGTAAACATCTTTCAATCAACGCCAGAATTATTTTTTACGGTTAACTTTCTCTGCGACAAACGGTTAAAATTTGTCAGTTGTTTCGCCTAACGGTTAAATATTTTGGCCGGTTTACGGCTATCGGTTAACCTATTGAGAGCCTCTTGAGTATTTCCTCTGTTCCCATTCAATCGGGTTCCTCTTGCCTTCAAATTTTCCAAAAGTAATAAAATAATTTCCAGCATGAAAATAGGTGGTGTATTAGTGAGCATACAGCAGAACGAATGTTGTGATAAAAACGATATAAAAAAACTATTTTGAAGCATTTAAAAGAATTGATTGAAACTATTAAAAAACAGCACGTAATATATTAAACAGAACTGTATTTTCTATTTTCAAAACTCTTATGGATTAATAAGTTAGCAAGGTAAATATTTGATTTTTTGGTCTTTTGTTAAATTAAATTTGTTGTAGGTACAAGCGAAGGAATCTAACAGCAACGATTTTCAAAGCATTCCCAGTAAAATCGAGGAAGCGTTAAACGAAGCGTTGCACTCAAAGTCAGCTGGTTTTCCCGAATTCCGAATAAATCCTGATGAGATAATGGCCTTGATGGAAGAACAGAAAGGCAAAAACAAAGACAGTTCCAAAGGTGAATCGGATAAAATATCTCTTGTGACAAAATTGACAAAAGTTGTTACAACCATTCAAAAAGGCATTGAAAAAATAAAAACTAAAGATCCTCTAAAAATTTTTGAGGGTGTTCTTGACATTGTCTCAAGCCTTTTAAACCTGGTTGACGCTGGTAAACCTTACAGCTTTATTTTTCGGATTCTTTCGGAAGCTGTTGGCATGTTTTTCACGGAAAGCAGACAAAATCAGCCAAGCGTGGTACATCAACTGACAGATGTTGTTCACGGTGAGATGATTCACTTTAACAAAAGGTTACAGGATCAGAAATATGACGGACTTAAACTTCGCGTGTCAGAACAAATTTTTCAGCTGCAGCGAATGAAAGAAGGAGAGAAATTAGATGATCCTTCTCTGTGGAATGATTACATGCAATTTTTGGGTGAGCTTGCGAGCAGGTTTGAGTCACCGCTTCCTTTCAAGTATGAAAGCTACCTGATAGACGATCCCGATGTAAAAGATTACGTAACAGCCGTAGTTAAGTACTCTGAAGCTCACTCTTGCTTCATGGCTCTTCTGTTCGCTGCTAAAGCAAAGTATACAGAATTAAGAACCGCGCACGAAGACGACATAGCCACTGTGGACCGTAAAATGACTTTCCAAATTAAAGAAGCAAAAGGGAAACTGTCTTTCCTTTCAGATAGGAGATTTTTGACATTTCTTGGAAGAATTGATGGCGGAAAACTCACCAAAATTGTGGCTTTAAGCCGAATAACTCGTGATCGAAACCTGGTCGAAACCGTTCGACAGAGCTTGGGTTTGTCGCCAATGCCGGATTTTTCAACAATCGAGTCTTCTGCACAGAAAGTGAGTCAACAGGCAGTACCTTTGCGGTCAGTAGAGATTTGTAATTGGCTTCTTTTACAGTACTTTGGCGTCAAGTATTCCATTCAGTTTATCAATGAAGCTGACTTTCCGATAAAGATTGTTTCGGGTGAAGTCGGCTGGAGTCAAGGGAACCAACTTCAGTTTGTGAAAATCCTTCCACCTCGTTCATCGTATCGCCGGGAGGCTAATTTCGGCTTCTCTACAGCTGGGTACATATTACTGCATTTAGACGGCGATTCGTCGAGCTCCGATTTGAGAAATAACAGAGCTATTGAATTTGCAGCATCAAAACCTTTTTACGAAAGTAAAATAAACATGCAAGACAAAACTGATGGAGAGTTTTTGCGCGGTCTGAATGCCTACAACGAGAGGTCTGAGGACACTGTAACTCTGTACTTTACTGAAAATGGAAAATATTACATTGCCAAAGCTGAGATTTTTGTTTGTTGGCCCTATCGCACTTTTCGATTCATCATTCAAGACTTTAATCCAGAAGCTGTTGGAGATGGAAAACGTTAGGATAGGCACTCTCGTTCATTGACTTCGTTCCCAGGGTCTCTCTTCGACAAATCTCTATTAGGTGGAGTGGGGAGGGTCGGAAATGAGAGACCCTGTCATGGGAGGGAGGGAGGGAGACACGGAATTCAGAAAATTTAGAAAATAGAGCCAAAACAGTTGTTGCAAGAGTGCAATATATCTCCTACCTTTCCCCACAAGACTTTAATCAATACTTTTAGTTTATTTGTAGACTGAGCTTTCTGTGAAGACACAAGTTGAAATTCCATATTTTATTTATTACTCATAAAACTATATGAGAAAAATACTTCATTTGAAAATTGCTTGGTTGAATTTTAAAATTCTAACTATTTTCACAAAACCATGTTTAAGTATTTAGTATCTTTCCTGAGCTACTCTGCATGTTAAGCTTTGAACACCAGAATTTCATATCACAATTTTGACTCTTAAATGCTTTTGAAACACCTGACAAAAATTCTTTAAACCAATTTTCACCTCACTAACGTGCAGAAAGATATATCAAAACACAAACAAGGAGGAAAAAAAAAGGGAAAAAAAGCCTCAGTAGAAGTTGTCAGTATGTAAATATTTGTGGGCAATAAGCACAAAAAAGAGAGATATTAATATGGTATATTGAATGGGAAATGAGGATGGGCAGCATCTCTTGGGACTTTCTTGCCATCAACCTGCAAATCCAAATTATCACAGAAAAACTGTAAGTCCTCTTCATTACCACCAAGTTTATTTATTATTTTATTTAACTCAAATTACTTAAATCACAAAAGCCTTACACCATCAGATGTACAGTGTGACACCATTGTCTAGCTTACTTAGACTAATTTTCCTTTCCTTATTAATATACTTAGCTCTTAGAATTTATTATTGAATCGAGTAGTAATTTCCTTGGTAATGATTTTTGTTATTCTTATCACTGCTCTCCTTGATATCGAATTGACACTGTGAGAAAAAATTAATTTTTTTTCAGGCCTTATTTCAACTACTAGTTAAGTAGTGTTCATAACTGCAAGGATCACTTATATTTGTTTCTTCAACCACAGTGCACATATATGATTTTCATATACCAGTATTTACAGTCATGTGAAAACCAATTGTAGGTCACTCCCAGGAGTGAAAGAGCTAAACAGATCATTCATTTTCATGCATACTGTTCCTGAAAATTTTCCAACATCTCTACTAATTTATGAAAATCACAGGCTTAAATCCTGGACTCCTGAGAGTTAAAAACATCTTATTTCTTCCAACAATATCACAGCTGAACCAAACATCGTAGTGTGATGAGAATAAGGAAAAATCAACTTCAAATTTCGACACATATTATACCTGACTGTATATTTAACCTGGATGAGTTCAATAAAATTACTTGATGAGTAACTTAGCTCAAATTTTAAATCATTATTTACATGTATGTCATGGCCCCTTTTACTTTCCTATTCTGAGGCCATTTTACAGTTACAGATCTTAAGGCCTGAGAGACAGTGAGAAAAGAGGACAACATAATGTTCACATGTATGTTGATTTAGAGCTGTTATTGCTGAGTGTAGGAAGATGGATGGGTTAGCCTTCCAGCAAATCATTCATTGACTTCTTGACCTCTATGAGTGACTAGCATCTAATTTCTCCTTACAATATCACCCCTGAATTGCACATTAAGGTCATGAGAATAAAGGAAATGATCAACAACTAAAAAAACTTGATTGTTCAACAAATTCTCCTTGTCCTCAGATTAGGTAATGTATAGAGAACAGTATGGAGAATATGCATACTGATGTAAGATCATAAAGGGTTAAGTTCAGCAGATTGTCTGTGAAATGCTGAATACAATGTTACTTACCTCTATCATTGGAATACAAGCTCTCCAAGGTCTGTTAAAGGATTCAATAACCTTCATGTCTTCATCAGACAGTTGAAAATCAGAAACCTGCGGGTTAATTGCAAGATAATTACAATTTAGTTTTAAAATCAGCGGAAAAAAGTAATCAGAAAAAAAGATTTCTCCCTTGGACAAAATTATTTTGGGCAAAATTAAACAACAATTCCTGCAATTAAGGTTTATCCCATTATAACCCCCAAGAGTGATAATTATCTAAGTTCTCCTCACAGTATCACCCCTAAATCACACATTAAGGTCATGAGAGTAAAGGAAATGATCACCAACTAAAGAGGCTCTTGATTATTATACAAAATCTCCTTATTAGTACCTTAAGAAATGTGTAGAGAACAGTGTGGGGAAAATGCAAACTGATATTTGGTTGTAAAGGTTAACTTTAGACCGCAAAAACTCAATTATGAACATGTTACAACTTGCCATATGACTGCCAAACACAGGTCACCAAATCGACAACGTCCCTAAAATTGGTACTTACTGTCATAACACTGCATAGTTTAAAATAACTGTCAGAAACAATTTAAATGCCACATGACTTTGCAAAACTTACCTCAAAGTTGCTCTTAATGCGAGCAGGAGTAACACTCTTGGGTAAAACAGACAAACCACGCTGTATCTGAAAGCGAATACAGACCTGCGCAGGAGATTTGCCATATTTATTGGCAATTGCCACCATCTTGGGATCATCCAAAAGGTAGGGATCTCCAGGTTTTGCCCACAGATGATAAGGTGACCCCAGAGGGCTGTACGCTGTTACTGCATGAGGTAAAGGAACAAAATGTAAGCAGATTATTTCACATTATGTCTGAGATGCTGTGGACTTCAGGTCAAGAGATAAAGGTTTAAGACTTGAACTATGTATAGCTGTGCATTTGTTAACCCTTAAC